ATCGCGGCAGCAAAAAGAATAATAGAGGAAAAAAGAATGGGAGAAAAAGATTGCCTCCCCACTTGGCGACCAGCTGATAGTGTGTAGGTCCTGGAGGAATATTTGCAATCTGTATCGCCTCGACACCCGTCTGAACTGACATCAATCGAGGGGCGGGTAGTCCTCACGAGCCGAAAAAGGGGCTCCCACTGTGCCCTAACTGTCGATTTTTGGGCGCGAGAGGATTTTTCCTATTACCCTTGGGGGCCACTCGGTATTTCTAGGGGGAGAACTCAGTAAACACTTTTGTCGTGAACTTTAATGCGTTCTTGCATGATGCCGACAATCCTTTGCGAAACGCTCCTTTCTAGCGTGATTACGTGATAGAATTAGATAAGAGAAAGAGCTCAGAAAGGAAGGAACAGCTTTTAGAATTTGATCTTTTGTTCGATGGTGTATAAGGAGAAGAAGAACAAAAATCGAGACTATGAAATGTTCATCGCAACTTTTGCGAAGGGTTTTGTCGTCGAAATTTCCTGAGCACAATGCATTATCACGATCTTTATGAATCTGTTGTTTGTTCTTCCCGAGTTCATGGATGCCTAAACAGGAGAGCGCGAAAGGACAAAAACAAAACAACGAAAACAAGGGCGAATTTCGATTCATCGCCTTCGCGCAGTATACAGAAATCGGAACACTGATTCAAGTAATTCCCCGTGGCCATCAACAGAAAGTCGATACGAATCTCAATTTACTGACCTTGTAAGCCACAATTTGCGGATAGGCAATGTCATGTAATAGAGATGCCATATATCATCTTCAGGAATTCCGCTGACAATTATCACTTAAGGATATTTTGAGAGTGGTTCATACTTTTTGGATAAAGAATACGATGAATTCGAGAGTTCACAAAGCACGTCCGTCTCTCAGCAAGCCCTCCTTCAAACTGAGACTGCAGGAAATCTTATACTTCGTCGAAATAGAAGCGAAGCAGGCGCTGGAGGAACTAGAGCTTTCTATATTCTCTTCTCACTTCATCCTTGACTGATAATAAGTAAATAAAGTGAGTTAAAGGTGTTACGAAAGCATTGTTTCCAATCGATTGACCAATTACAATCAATCTTCTTCGTATAGTCAATTTAGCTGATTGTTCGCAGATCGCTGCGCTAGGCGCTGCACTCCATGCTGAAGGCCCGATCCCAATAGCTCAAGCTAGATTTGTTCGCTGAGTTTTCCGCATGCATATAAGATATGGCCTCGGCAGATATCTGTTCCAATTATTCAAGCAGTTAGTAGTCATGGAAAGATTCAGGCAAACGAAGGGCAGCTGAATTGTTACGGCTACTACTAAGTAAGGTGCTTTTATACGGTGAACTTTTCGAATTTTTCTTCCTTGGAACTTATCATTGATGCATGTAATACATAGTAGCTTGACGGAGGCCTCCATTTGACAATCACGAAAAGATGAAAAAGTCGGCCGACCAAAAACTGTCTAGTAAGCTATTCGTGGTTGCCCGAAAACATGCATAGTGAAACAGGCATCTCGTCGTCCACGCACATTGGGCACCTTTGAAGTTCCGCTCAATTATTTTTTAGCTCCATAAAACTATGCCACTGAAAATAGAAAAGAATAGCAATTGGCTATGTGTCTGCAGGTCGAGGTGATTGCGATGAAGATTGGGACAGCCATCTTGAGCCTAATTCTCCTCTACGGGATATGAATTTCGACTCACTTCTATACACTGCGGGGTTCTTTGCAAGCCCCATTCACTTTGAATGACCCAAGCGGGTTTGCTTCTGTTCCCAACCTTAAATAGATGGAGGTAATGATTTATAGTATGAACCCGAAGTAGGAATCCCTTGTCCTTTGATGCCGTGTTACTCAGAGCGGCATAAATATGAAGACAAGTTCGAGCATCAAAGAAAGTAGTCGCTCGACATTGCTCAGATGCGTGCCAAGTCATCGATTTTTATACGGCCTGCCTTTCAATCGACATCATAGGTCGGCTGGCGTGGCGCGCACCGCGGTCCAGCCAGGAAGGTACAGTATCCTGCAAAGAGCGAGAAAACGCCATGTTGATATGCTCGGCCATGGACTCTGGCTGCTTATGCCATCATGCGATGATTGCATCATCCACTTTCCTCATCGTGTTCGCAGCAGCGTGGTCGTCTTCGTCTTCTTGTGCGTATTCGACGCCAGCTCCACCGGTGCGTAGTTTCGGAGAGATCCGAAGCACCATTATATTGTCATCTACTGTTCTGTTAGTGCAACTGCTGTCAAGTCAACCTCACTCAAGGAAGACCTGAAGGAGTGGTTTGCAGCCATGGATGAGTCAAGGGGCGGCAGTATCACAAGGAGGTTGGGAGGATTGGATATTAAGAGGAGAAGTTCGTACCCAACGGTAGTTCGGCGTAGTTTTACTGAGTGTATATATTTTTTCTTATGTTATTTTCCACACTATTTCAATTCCCATGCTATTGATTTGAAGTCTTGTTTGGTACATGGTTTTGTTATACTTACGAACATAATATGTTCATGTTCATAACGGTCATTTTATCAAGTTTGAATCGCTGGCTTTTGTCCATGTGGCTATGTTGCGAGGGGAGTAAGGGAGCCAATGTTTTGATCTTCGATTGGCTGTGATTTATTGCAGAGTTCGCGCGGGAAGAGGGTGCCGAGCAAAACGAACGCTCCAATTTTTTCAGTCGCCGTTTCTTACCTCCGTCCGGGAGCTCGCTATTGTGTTCCAATGAAGCCCGACACTGTCCCGTAGGAGCCTAACAAGGATTTGCCAGAAGATTCGTACACGCGAGTCACCTCCAGGTCCCCCCCTCACATTATTCGCGCTTAGCTTTTGCTGTTCATGTTTGTTATTTCGTCGTTCTTTCACTTCTATTTGTTTCTCTGGAGATCGCTCCAAGACCCCTGTATCGCCACAGTTCAAACCCAAGCTTTTCTTTTGCTGGCTGTTGCTGATCATTTGCTTTATTGCCATTCCAATCATTATTTATCCCTTTGTCACGTTGCTCTCATTTGAGCCTCATTATATCATCACTGCACTTCCACCTCACTTATCGTTATCATTTCCTTTCGGTATTTTTTACATCCTTATCTTAATTCTGATTCACGGGTTCTCTATTGCTTTGTTCCGTTCTCCATAATCTGTTTTACGTTGTTTGTCATAAAAATTGCGTTCGAAAGCTTGATTGTGATCGTTCGAATTGGTGTATACCGCAGAATTATTCGGTCCTAGGCTTAACAAGGCTAGCTATAATAGTACCGACTTGGGGCCAAGCCACACCGATCACTCAAGTTTACGTTTTTCAGGTTGCCCGCACTGACCAAGAGAAGTCGTTGATAGTAAGGATAAGGTCCGGTCGTGGCACTGTATTGATTTTCACAAACCCATATAGTAAGCAGATGTGATAAAGAAACCATCTTCTTCTCCACTCTAAGTACGAGTGTACCAAGACTTACAGTGAATTTTGCAGTTCAGTCAGAAGAGAAGAGCCCACTGGAGTCTTGCAGCCACCAGTCGCAGTCGCAAAAGCCGTACGATGGGACCTAGATGACTACCTTAACTGTCGCGGAAATTACCAATAAGATAAAAAAGACTAAATCCCAGATGAGTGGGAGCAAGGGGCTCATGAAGAGATTGCGCAAGTCGAAGAAATAGTCACCCAAGCCAACATGGCGTTGGCGCAATTTTTCACTACTTCTGACAAAAGGCGTGTTGGAATCGATCAGTAACAAGATCAACGCTGTATTAGTACTGTTGAAAGCCTGAACGAGCAAAGCGCGGCCAACACTACAGTAAGCCACGAGGACGTAGAAGACGTACTGCAGAAGTTGTGCGAGTAACCGTGTGTGCCCTAAATGAGTGGTCCGACTGCAGTTTGAAAAACGCCGAGAAGAGCTGTGCGGACCAGAAGGCACACTTATGGATTGCGAGTCCGGTCCGCACAGAGAAAGGCTAACAAACAACGATTGTAGCAACTGCTACCGTACTCACCATAATTGTAAAGACGCGGCAAACCTACACTAACACTCATTCGTCGGCTGGGTCTACTCGCACTTTTACGTGCACCAACATGTAACGACCAGTAACTGCGTGTGGTCTGAACCTTGATCTTTGGTCCGACCGAGTGGTATAAGTAGCCGGAGGGTTTCTTCGTCGGGTCATTCTTGGCCTTGGTGGTCCGCAATACAGCAATACCGTATCCGCAATATCCAACCGACGGCTCAATATCCCACAACATAATATCCGACACAATATCCGTCACAATACCCTACCACACAATAGCCGACTGCACAATACGCAGAAGAAAAAGGAATACCCTCTTAGTGTTTTGTTGAACTATAATAATAAAGTTTAAAACCAAGCCGTGCACTCGAGCACTTCAGGGGTATCGCGTGGCAAATCTCATAGACTTTGGTAGAGCAACGTCCCCATACTAGTGACCAGAACGATAATGATAGAGAGCTTTCGTTGCAGTTGATGAGAATAGTGAAACCACCGAGACGAGAGCACAATTGTGAGCCAAATACCTGTATGTGGGAACATGCAGCGTCAAACGTCTCAGCAGTTCTCAGCACCACAACTCCGTTCATGGATGTCAAGTTTTTCGGAAAGGACGCCGAACCAGAGGAATGGGCTAATACCATACGATGCCTCGGGAGTGAACCATGCTATAATAATGCAATAGTCGGACGTTTCAAGATTCGTCCCTGGTACGAGAAGCTACGTGAATTCTGGGTGCCCCTCTGGCCGGCACCAAGCACTGAGACAGACGAAAAGACCATCGTCGCAAAAGAAGCGCCAACTGCTCGAAAGCCGGTCATACCTCCAGAAATATGCCCAAATGTGGACGACTTTGGTACGATGTGAGATACGTGAGTCCTTGAAGTATATACGAGTGAAAAGATCACTCTTTTTAGACCCGGGGGATGTTAGGAGGGGGCAGTGAGTCAAGGTCTTGATCTACGAATAGCATTGGCTCATTGCAGAGCTCGCGCGAGACGACAGTGCCGAGCGAGACCAACGCTCCAACATTTTCAGTCGCCGTTTCTTACCGCCGTCGGAAGCTCGCTGTTGTGTTCCATTAAAAGCCCGCCGCTGTCCCTGTAGGAAGCCAACAAAGATTCGTCCACGCGAGTCACTCCCAGATCTCCCCTCATCGCCTCATATTATTCTTGCTTAGCTTTTGCTGTTCATATCTAATATTTCGTCGTTCCTTCAGTTTTATTTGTCTCTCTGGAGATCGCTCCAAGACCCCTGTATCGCCACAGTTCAAACCCAAGCATTTCTTTTGCTGGCTGTCGCTGATCATTTGCTTTACTGCCATTTCAATCATTATTTATCCCTTTGTCACGTTGCTCTCATTTGAGCCTCATTATATCATCACTGCACTGTTACCTCATTTACACCATTTTTTCGGTGTTTTTTTACATCCACATCTTAACTCTAATCACGAGTTCAATGTTGTTTTATTTCGTCCGCCATCATCTATTTTACGTAGTTGGTTGCAACGCATAAAAATTTCGTTCGAAAAATTGATTGTGATCGTTCGAATCAGTATATGCCAAAAGAATTATTTTGTCGTACGACCTAACAAGATTACCGTACCGACTGCTGGTTTGTTTATCTGCGTACAAAAAAATAAAATAAAAGTAAAAATATTTGTTTGTCATGAAGGTATTTAATCGCATTTATTCACACTTATCATATCATTTATTTTCTAGATATGTTGTTGATACGTTTTCTAGATAGTTGCTCATAAAGTCATATAATTCATTCATGAATGCTTAGAATGTGAAAAGTAAGAAAACCTTGTATTTTGCAGCCATCCTGGGCGTCGGAATAAGCGGGTACACAGGCCCATGGAGGACCACGCACCCAGCGCCTTGAGGCAGCTCGGCGCTGGGCGAGCAACCAGCGTACTGCGGAAGCAGTACCATCCCGTAAAAGGGCGTAAGGGCAGCCTAGGCCTACCACGTCCGTGTGGTGGATGGTTACGAGCATCAGCGAGCGGGCAGAAGACCTCGGCCACCTGGCTCACGCTGACTGGGTCGCCCTGCAACCACCGATGGGGAAAGCTCTCGGTGGGACGGCTCGACGGCGCGACATACTGGCTGCCTGAATGCTACGGATTTAGCACTTGGCGGCTGGTTGAATTTCTGCAATGTCTGACGTGCACCTAACATCCGTACGGCTTGGACGCTTTTACGGTTGGTCAGATGTGATTGGGTGGCAGTGTACGACGAGCAGTCCAGCATTTTCGGTTAGATGTGATTTGGCAAAGCAGCTATCATCGCCATCAACAACATCGACTCGCATCTACGCGTAACATATGAACTGTGCACAAGTTGCAGTTACAACATAGCGAAGAACAGTATAGTGATTCCAGCACCATTAGAGGAAATACATGGACTCCCAGGTGGCCATGAAGGGTCCTCTGAGAGCTTTCTACTTCCGGAATGGAGTATTCAGAGATCGCCATTAATTGTAATCTCGTAAGGCCAGTAGAAGAGATGGTACCTCTCTCAAGCTTGAGAGACGTCGAGCTGTTATGTTTTATTTTATTTACTACATACGATGATCGTTTTTACCTTGAATATATTAATTCGCACTCTCTTATTTGCATTTGTTGTTACATGATTCAGTACCTGTAAATTTCGTAGACGCCGTAAAAAAAATTGGTGAATATTCATTATTACGTCATTGTCATCGCATAGAGATAGTCGAGGAGGCGTTTGGCAACGTGACTCTATCCCACTGCCTGTATCTGTAACTCAGTGCCATTGGTCTCATGGGGAGCCCCACAGCAAACGTCGTGTCGTCGTCTTGAAGGGAGGATATTTTCCACCGTACGAGCGAGTAATCACTGAGCATACCATACGGACTGCTTACAGGAGGTAAGAATACGGTAGTACCGTGGCAGGAAGGAACGCAGCGTAGCGCTTCGCCCTCGCGGGCAACACTATCAAATTCATCGTGGATCTTTCGTTGGAGTTCAGAAGTGGTACACTTAAAAAGCTAGAAAGGTTACCCTTGAAAAGCCCACTACGATGGGGACCGTTTCCTCGAGTCACTGAGTTTGTCAGAAGCCTGAGAAATTGAATCAAAGACTTGAAAATTGTTACGGAGGGCTGCGATAACAGGCCCTAGCAGACCCTTGCAAAGTTCACGTGTGAAATGGAGGAACTTAACGTAAGAGAGCTCTTCACTGATTAGCGAAATGTCTGAAGAAGTTAATCAAGCAAGGAAGACGGTGGAGAATTCATATGCTGACTATCGTTTTGGGTTTACGGCAAGAAGACTCGCAACGAATCCGTTCTTTTGCATGCATTTAGCGAGATCTCACAATGAAAGATGATGGAAAACTATAACCAGGTAAACACTGCATTAACCTTACAACTAGTCCTCTCTTGATGAAGTCATAGAAAGCCCGAAATGAAACGACATAATGAGATCACGGTTTTTGAGTTACATCCTCACACTTGCATGGAGAAAAGTTGCACGTTCGATGTTCCTAGCCAGAACGTGATCATTTTGCTTGTAGAGGAATGAATTTTTTTGTAAAAACTTCTGAGCTAGAGGACGATGCAGGAGGGATGCGTGTCTCAACTTAGGCGAGTCAACAACCTGCATTTTTTCACCTACACCGTCTGGCGAGTTCGGATATGAAGAGGGATTTCTGCTTACGATAGAAATGGCTATGAAGCCTCTGCTTCACATCCTGCCATTTTGACAACTTAGATAAGCATTTCCCGTTGACTTTCTTTTAACCTGTCACCCAGGATCACGATCGGCTCGCAGACGGATTTTAATAGTTCTGTCTTTAGAAACATTGGCTTTTCCACCTCTTTCTGGTTTGTTTCCGATTGTATCTTCCTTTCTATATCGTTCAATGGCCTCCTATAGGGATATTGCAAAAATCACAAAGAATGTCACAATGCCCTACCATCTCTCGCATGCCAATTATTGCAAATGAATGAGCCTAAGATATTGGAGTGCCACTTCAGCCACCATGTATTCTGCAAGGAAACCATCTTATGCAGCTAATCGATATTGGGTGGAGTGAACTTAATAAATTACTTCTATCTTAGAAGTTTCTTAAGTTTGGCGCCCATAATTTTGGGACACCCCCTACATCGGTTAGCCACCGCAACTCATTTCATGAACCACATGTGCATTCAATACTCCACTACGATTCTAAATTGAAATTAATGCGGGGCGCATCCCTCAAATGAGGATGGTTAACGTTGCAGTCATATATGGAACCAATAATCATGAGGCTACGCATAGAAGATGGTATCAGCAGTCTTGATCCGCTCCGAGAGTATCGTAGGAATTCATTTTCTCTAACAATCAACTATCTTCAATCTATGGTATTTCTAAATTCGCAGCCCGCAGATTTGCCAATATCGCGTGAAGAGATTATGGTCAAGCGTGAATTACCACTAGTTACCCAGCTTATTGACCAAGAAGTGCTTCAAGAAGTATGCGCTATATTTCTGATTTTGACTTGTTTATCGTTGATACTGCAGTTTCTTGCTCCTATCCAGAACGGGTATCGTTCAAACGGGGATCTAGCCAGACACCGCGAGTTACATACGACAAGAATCTCCTACTGGTTCACACGGAAACGCGCCACATTGCCATACTTAAGAAAGCTTTTACTAATGTAAAAGTTCGGAATGGATGAAGTTCGCTTACGAAGGAGAAGAAACTTCTGGCGTTAGCGGAAATACAGTTGGAAAAGGAGATGAGGGGTTATTTGGGGCGGTGATGTGTTGAACTATATAGTACTTGTATATACAGGGTGGCTATAAAGTATGGTCTGGTATTTATTCGCATGTAAAAAAATAAATAGGACACACTTCTTCAAGAATTTTCATTAAATGGTATGACTAAGATGGAGGAACATTCATTTTATTATTTATTTATATATTTATTTAGTAACATGTACAGTCAGTACATGAACACAGCCTATTACAAAAACAAATCATATA